ATATATATAATTAAATAAATATATAATATTACAAAATTTTTAAATATTTTTAAGTATTCTAATATAATAATAATTATTATTATTATTCTTGTATTTGATCTTATCCTTTACATAATCTCAAAAATGTAAGAATCAACCAATCTAATAATCTAATCGTTCAACGTTAATCTTTACTTGAATGCTACAAGTTTTCATTTCGTATTTACATTATTTGCAGCTGATTGATTACAATGCTATCGGCGAGAGAACAGTTCTTCAATAGCGATGGCGGCACTCCCGGCATAGGCCTGGGCATTGAGATTGGGGAGAGCGGCACAGCGAAGCCCGGACGCGGTGTCTACAATGCCACCACTGTGCCCATGACAAGCGCCAGCAGCTGGCGCAATGGACAGACGAATACAACGACCACTGCCACGCCCACTGGCGCTGCAGTTGCCGCTGCCAAGCAAACGCCCTTGGAGCCGGTGGTGGAGGCCGAGGAGGATTTCAACATTGATACGAATGCACTATCCAATCTGCCGCCACGCGAGCCCGTGGACATTGAGTTCAAGGAGCTCTCGCTGACGGTCAAATTGGGCTTCAAACGAGGTGAGTGCCGGCATTTACGATCGTCAGCTCTGGCCACGATATGGCAGTCTATAAAAGTTCAAACACGTCCGATAAGATTGCTAAAAAAGAAAATAAAAGGCGCTCCATTTTATGGATTCATACAGAATAGCGGCTACTTTTTATGGAGCCACAAGAAGAATTAGAGCCTAGGCGCATGGGTCTTGGCAGTTCAAAAAACACACGAATAACCACCTATTAGGTATTTTTGTTAACAGCTCATGCTTTTACAATTGATTAGATACGACGCCCTTGCCCCTGTGGGCCCATCAATTAGTCAACAGCCATAGATAGAGCTGGAGCATATCAATTTTAGAGAATAGTTATGAAATGAAATTTTATTTTTATATTTATAGCTTAGAGCTCAATTAAAAATTTTTTAATAGGTTTTTTTTTGGAGGTACTTTAGCACAAATAGCTTCGCTATAAATAATATCAAAGTCCAGGAAGCTAACTTTAACTTTAAATTTTTATATAAAAGTTAATTTTTGTCCGTTTGCTCGCTTGTAGTACGCGAATGATTAAGATACGTTAGCACAGTGCTCCATAACGTAATTATTCCAGTTGTTCTCTAATTAATGTTTATCATTAAATAAAGCCCTCACCTTTAAGAGCTAATCGAGTGGCGTACAATTTATTACCTGTTTTCATATAAGCTAATATATATGCATTGAAGAAATATAAAATGACTTCGCAAAGCTATCCTCAACCCATTAATAATTTGCATTCAATCTATATGTGTATATATTAGACAGAGGAAGGTTGTTAGTTCCTATGAAGTATATATATATACTCTTACTTGTTCTAGTATAAACGGTTTGCTTTGTAAGTATAAATGAAATTGGAGGAGCAGTGCAGGGTATCTCCAAGTTGGGATTTCCCGGTTAAAGCACTCTTAGTTGTTTTCATTGATTCCATTAATCAGTTGCCATGACTAGGCACAAACTAAGTGTTAATAAATAAGATTCTCTAAATCAAGTTTCTGATTGGTTAAATCTGCATATTATAGTCGTTCAATTTAATAACAGGCTTGGCTTAAGTGTAATTGAGTAATAACTAGTATTAACAGGCTAAATGACTTGTAGAATGATCCGATAATCGAGATGAAAAGTGACGATTGATAAATTTATGTCAAACAGGTGAAAAGGAAATTCTACACAATGTCTGCGGCAAGTTTCCCGGTAGCCAGCTAATTGCCATTATGGGTCCATCGGGAGCTGGTAAATCCACGCTTCTCGATGCTCTTTCTGGATTTAAGACAACCGGTGTCGATGGTTCCATACGACTCAATGGACGACGACGGGATTTGCGTGAGTTTATTTCAAAATGAGAATTTACAAATATTTAATTGATCAAATATATTTATATATCTCGATCACAGCCTCGTTTCGTCGCATGTCCTGCTACATCACACAGGACGATCGTCTGCAGCCTCTGCTGACGGTGACCGAGAACATGCATATAGCGGCCGATCTGAAATTGGGTGAGAATGTCAGCTACGAGGAGAAGGAGAGCAGAGTAAGCGAAAAGTTTTGCACCTTTATCAAAATTCATCTAAGCGTGACTTACCATTTTCTAGATTGAAGACATTCTGTTGCTGCTGGGCCTTTACGATCACGATCAGACGATGACAGGCCGCCTGTCTGGCGGCCAGAAGAAGAGGCTATCCATTGCCATGGAATTGATTAACAATCCCACTGTGATGTTTCTGGACGAGCCCACAACGTAGGTGCACATTTTCGACTAGTCAGAGCCAATTCTCAATCTCTCGTTTTACTCTGGCCAACAGTGGCTTGGACAGCAGTTCCTGCACCAAAGTCTTGGAGCTATTGAAACGCTTGACCACCCAGGGTCGCACCATCATTTGCACCATACATCAGCCCACTGCCAAGCTATTCCAAATATTCGATCAAGTCTATGTGCTCTCATCCGGCAACTGCGTCTACCAGGGCGGCACCCAGAAGCTGGTGCCCTTCCTGCAGTCCGTGGATCTGCCCTGTCCCATGTACCACAATCCAGCTGATTACAGTGAGTGACCCATGAGACCAGCTGTGAACATAGTAACGTTTCTTCCTCCCCACGCAGTCATCGAGCTGGCCTGCGGGGAATACGGTTTCGACAAGATCGATACGCTGAAGTCAGCAGCGGAGAACGGCAGCAGTCTGATCTGGTTCAACAATCCCAGCGCTGTGCTGCGCTCCGAGGCGCTCATCCACAAGCATCCCATACCCAAGCGTAGTAAAAACGTTTCTCTGGAGAACACCAGCTTTATGAATCAGTGCACGGTGCTGCTACGACGTGGCTACATCAAGTCCGGTCGCGATACGACAATGACCCATCTACGCCTCTTCGTCAACATTTGCGTGGCCGTACTCTACGGCGCGATGTACGATCATTCCGGCAAGGAGGGCTCACGAGTTTTGGATAATTATAATCTTCTGTTTGCCATATTAATGCACCATTCCATGACGACGATGATGTTGACGGTTCTGACATGTAAGCAGAGAATAATTCTCAACTCTCTGATCGGCATAGAGACTGATCTTCTTTAATTGCAGTCCCCCTTGAGATGACAATATTGATCAAGGAACATTTCAATCGTTGGTATTCTTTGAAGGCCTACTACACAGCCATGACGCTCTTGGAAATACCCATAACAGTAATTAACATAACCTCGAGGATAGTCTATTATATCTAATATCTCACCCGCTCTACAGTTTATCAGTACACTCCTGTTCACGGTCATCATTTATTTGTGGAGCTATCAGCCCATGGAGTGGGTGCGCTTCTGGATGTTCTTTGTGATCAGTTTGTTAGTTGTGTTTGTGGGTCAAAGTTTTGGATTGATTGTTGGCGCCTGGTGCAATGTGGTCAACGGTACTTTCCTGGCTCCCGTGCTAACCATTCCCATGATGATGTTCGCCGGCTTTGGTGTCACTTTGCGCGATCTGCCCAGCTACCTGAAGTGGGGCAGTCACATATCCCACTTGCGATATGGCCTCGAGGGCTACATAGCTGCCATCTATGGAATGAATCGGGGGGTTTTGGACTGTAACGAGGCGCCCTACTGCCATTATAGGTAAGGAACTACATCAGCAGGTGCCCAAGTGGATTGCTTAAGCGTTTACACTTTTGCAGATATCCAAAGAAGTTCTTGGAGGAGATTACCATGTCGGGCGATCAGTTCTGGAACGATCTCATGGCGCTGAGCATAATGCTGCTCCTCTTCCGCGTGAGCGCCTACTTTGTGCTCAAGGCCAAGCTCAAGTCGATCCGATGAGCGCTGCCATTCCAAGGAACAAACTTGCCCACTTGTATTATATATAAATTGTTGAAAACTACGTTTAGTGTTAATTTTACTAAATTAATTACATTAATAAAACACTTGTTAATTAAATCTATAGCACGTAGACTCTATATCACACGTTTCAGTTGTTCAGGCCTTGCGCAGCCTGCTTTAGCTCCTTCTTTGCAGTTGCTGTCTGCTCCAAAAGCTGTTGCAGCGCTTGAGCATTGGATGCCATCTCACCAGAATGGAGCTGAGGAGAGATTGAAATTAGAATTAGATTGGCTAAGGTGGATATTAAGATTATTAACTTACCAGTACAACACGCTGACCCAGCGCTTCCAGCAGTCTCCGTTTCAAGCGCAGCAGGGAGGTCGCCGATCGACTGAATTTCAGCGTCTGTTGCGGCGTCAGTAGCTCTATAAAGTATATGCTGGCTTGCTCGCCTTGAGTCTGGACACGCAGGCTGGGCAAATTGATGCCGGCAATGGGGCATACCAAGTCAACGCCTTCCACCTCGGCATCTGCCGACAACTGATTGGCATATGCTGTCAGATCCTCACGTTGACTGAGCAAATAGGCGGGCGCACGGGCGAGCTCCTTGAAGGCCTGCTTCGTCTTGACGTCCGTCCAGTCGGGATGCTCTATGGCCACAGCAGATCGTAGCACAGTCAAGCGGCTGTCCACTTTGGGTTGTGCGCGCTGTCGCTGACGTTGTGCGGCCTTCAGCTCCTCGGCCCCGTCGAACAGCTGCTTCGAGTGGTGACCCAGAATAACCAGGGAGAGGCACGCATCCACTAGTTGGTCGGGAAAACGGTCATACTCGCCGTTATTCAATTTACGTAATGCAAACACCTCCAATTTTCTCAGCTGCTCAGCAGTTAAGTTGCAATTCAGCTGTGCGCAGCCCCAGAGGAATGTGGACACATCCTTGGCACGCAATTCACCGGGATTGAAGCTCAATAAACGTTCCACAAGCGCCTGCATGCATTCTGGCTCATCCCACTGCATCTCAGCGAAGTACGCAAATATGTGTGCCAGGCCACGAGGCTGAAGTTTTGTTAGTTGTGTTTGCTCCAGGCAAATGCTCTGCAGGTGCTGGCAGATACGCTCGTCGTGAACGCGCTGGAAACGCAACGCCTTGACGTAGCACACAAGCAGCGAATCATCCGGAACGCTATCCCCGTCAAGCTTTAAGTTCAGAGTTGCATCCACCAGGGCATCCTCATATGCCTGACGCACTTCACCCGTCACCAAAGTCGAAGTTTTATAGGCAGCATTCGAAACCAGAGCCAGGTCCAAGGGATTTAAGTTAGCCAAGTGCTTGCCAAGCTGCGTCGCAAGCAGCGTCTCCAAATCAGTTTGCTGATTTTGCTTCTGAAGGCCTAAATAGAAACAGATTTGCAGAAAACGCTGCTTGCTGCCAGCCGCTTCCTGCACCAAACGTCGCATGGCCGCATGATAGAAATCGATGCGCCTCAGCCAATTCGGGATAAGGAACAGAAATGCATAGAGCGTCTCCAGCACAGTGGAAACGTCCATTTTGTCTAACTGTGCAGTTGCGTGCGCATCCAACACATTCAAGGCCTTGGCATACATGGCTGGTACTGCATTGGAACGATAACTGGATGTATGTATGATCAGAGCCGGCAGCTGTGAAGCATCTGTCTGCTGCACGGAGCGTCGGAAATAATGCTCATCTGTGATGGGATAGTAGTCCGAATAGCGGATTTTCGTTGGTGGCAGCACGTGCTCCTCGCATTTGTAGCGGTCGATGGCTATGTGCTTGGCAAAGCGGGTCAGCAGCGTGCCGGTCTCATCTGAAGTGTCCCGCATTACATCCCTTACTGTGAAAGAGGCATAGCATCGCACTTGGTTTAGCTTTCTGCTGTTTGTGATCGATGCGCACGTAAGACGACGCAACAAAGCAAACATTTCTATTGCAATTTTAATATTATTTATATAACTTAATTTATCAAACACAACGTGCTCGGCTCCAATCTATGTATGTAAACTTATCAACCAGTGTTGTAAGAGGTGCAAAGCGCGCATTCTTTGATGCAATCGTTTTTTTTTTTTTGTACATTTTGTGTTGGTGGTTGTCTCGGCTAAAGAAATACAAAATTTCAAAATTTAGCAAATAATTGGCTGTAGTTGTTTAAGCATTAAAAAATTAAAGTATTCTTACGTTTGGAAAACCAATAGCACACGAGTACAGAATGGCTTTTATCTTTTTTATAATTTAAAAATTTAGTATTTAAATTTATATATTATATGCCAAACCAGTAACTTCAGAGCGTTATTTTAAATTACTTTTCAACACTAATTAATTAATTGCTTACGAGGAAGATGGGCAAAAGAGCAGCTGGATTTGTCCTGTTTCGGCGTCTATGTGGAGAAATTCAATATTTACTACTAAAAGCTTCATATGGTGATTTTCACTGGAGCGCGCCAAAAGGTCATGTAGATCCCGGTGAAGACGATTTTACTACAGCGCTGCGTGAAACAAAGGAGGAAGCCGGGTAAGTGCATATTTTGAAACAAAAATGAATCTATTGACCATTAATTAAACACATTTTGGCTTGTAGTTTCGATGAAAAGGATTTGATTATATACCGCGACACGCCACTAACTCTAAACTACGAGGTCAAAGGTAAGCCAAAGGTTGTTATCTATTGGCTGGCAGAGTTGCGGAATCCAAACCAAGAAGTCATTCTGTCCGAGGAACATACCGAGCTTAAATGGCTCCCAAAGGATGCGGCGAAGGAATGTGTTGGCTTTAAGGACAATCAAGTGATGATTGAGAAGTTTCATGAAATGATACTTAACATGGATAAGAATCGCACCAATTGTGGATGTCCCTAAAAATACCAAAAATTTAGTGCTGTAAACGTTGTCAGTGAATGACAGCATGACGGCACTCTACAACACTATTTTTAAGGCATCTGTAGATTGATTTTGTTGTGAGAAACTAATCAAAAAAAGGCATTGAATAAATTTTCTAAAAACGGCTACAATTTAATTGATCAACGTATTTGTACAATAATGGGTTCACGTTCGCGCAGTCCGTCGGTGAAACGCCGCCATCATAAGAGCAAACACAAAAAGCGCAGCAAGAGTAAGTCACACAATCGCGACAGGGAACGGGACCATGAGCACGAGCGCAGTAGCTGCACCCGCAGCAGTCGCACGGATAGAGAAAAGTCGGCGGAGATTAATCATGGTCGGCGAGAGCGCGATAGGCATCGCAGCGACAGGCACACTCACACGCACCTGCACACACACACAGATCGCGACTATCACCGGCACTCGCACTCCAAGTCCCGCAAACGCTCCAGCTCCTCGAGCAGTGATAGCCAGCAGTACTCGGATCACGAGACGCAACGCAGTCGACACAAGCGCAGTCGATTCAAGAAACTGGATGAGGTAAGCATTGGCCGCCCAGCATCTTACTGGACTCCAGTTTTATTAACATCTTTGGTTGCAGCAAAATTTACTTCAGGTAGAGCGACTTGCCGAAATGGAACGGCAGCGTCGACAAAAAGAAGCTGAGCAGAAAACAATAGAAGAGCAGGCGGCCAAGCGCATTGAAATGCTCGTCAAGAAACGTGTCGAAGAGGAGCTCGAGAAGCGACGCGACGAAATCGAGCAGGAGGTGAATCGTCGCGTCGAGACAGCCAAAGCTGAAATGGAACGTGAAATGATGCTGGAGCTGGAGAAGCGGCGCGAGCAGATACGCGAAGAAGAACGCCGTCGCGAGGTAGGTGCTCGTATTCACATTTCGCTGGACGACTGCTGCTACCACAAATACCCAAACTACCAACTACCAACACACGCACAGTATACAGCCTTCGACTACGACTACCGAAAAACACACACATGTACAATACCAATGGCAGTTGCAAACAGTCGTCTTGAACAAACTCATTTACGAAACTGTGTAGCGACGTTTTCAGTTGTCAACTGTAATGAGCAGATGCTGAAGGCTCAGTTTGTCCCTGAGTGGGTGTGCGTGTGTGTGTGCTGGCGTGTGTGTATAAAAGTGTAGCTACTATTCATTCACCTGGTCATATTCTTTCTACACTGCTAATCCACTAACAAACATACTTTCATGCCATATTAATTAACTAGCCTAACCTTTCGGCTTATGACCGCAGCACACGCACACGTACACACACACACACACACAAACACACGCTGAGCCGCTGGTCTCGTCGCTGCACATATCGTATTACTGTTGCCGAATAATTTTTGTAATTATTATTATTTATTTTTTTCTACAAACCAAAAACATAACGAAAGACAAGTACCCAAAAGCCAAAAATGTCTCTTGCAGTTTTGACGCCCACAAAAATGCATAATTCGATTTTTGCGTTACTTTTTAGCCTCATCTATTCTTGTTTGATTTCATTTTGATTGGTTTCTGTAACTGGTTGTTGTTGTTGTTACATAATGCGCGTAATTCAATGCTTCAATGATCAAATGTGTGTGAGTGTGTGTGCCTGCGTGTGTGAGTGTGTATGTGTGTGTTTGGGAGAGATGGGATTACAACATTACTACAAACAAGCAGACCGAACAGTAAACAAAACACGTACCTGTAAATTGTATATGTATATGTGGAGCTCCTCAACCATTCGGCCCCCCACCTAAGCCTCGGAGCTACTGCCACACGGATGAGAGCAACACTCAGCTCTCTAGGAGATCGTTGACGATGTACTACACACACACACACACATACGTATACCGTATAGCGCATCCCGTATCACGTATCGTGTATATCGTTTATCGCAGCAGTGTAGTCGATCGAGCTCAGTAGCTCTTAGCCAGTACAGTGTTTGGGTGTGAGGGCGGGCTTAGCATAGCTTACCTTAGTTCCAACAGTACGAAGCATGCCAAAACCCAAATAGGTCCCCCATACACGGGCGCCTATTCATACCACTAAACGGGTGAGTGAGAGTTCGTTAAACAAAACGAAACGTGTGAAAAACTTAAATGGATATAAACAAACTTCAAGTGTGTTAAGTGAATGGAACAATCATCAGTCAATTGCAAATGCGAATGCATAAATAAAAAACCAAAAACAAATAGTTCATAAGGACTCTAAGCTCTCCCTCTAGGAACATTCGACATAGGACAACCAAATCAAAGCCGATCAGACATAAGATTGTTATATCGTAACTCATAAGCCCGGATAACCATTTGTCAATCAATGGGTATGACTGAACTTGTTGTTGTTGTCGTGCCACAAATGTTAATTTTATGTATGTTTGGTTTCCTCAAACATTTATCGTTTGGTCGAGACGCTCTTATAATTTGATTCCTAAACACACAAAAAAGAAAAAGTAATGTAATTTTGATTAAACAACTATGTAGCTGAATACCGTAAATCAAAATACAAATTCGCAGCACAGCCAAAAATTAACAAAATGATTTAGCCATTAAACTGGAAAAATGAACTATTTCAATAGTAAGTAGCAACAAAAATAAAACAAATAAAAAAACAAAAACAAATAGATTAAAGGAAAAGACAAAATCGAAAACAAAATTAAAAAAAAATATTTCAAATTTAAGTACATTTGTTAATGTTGTGTGCTCTCATTGTTAAAAATTAAATATGCAAGAAAAAAAAAACAAATATTATTTAAACCTTTTTACTAGACACTACTAAATGTTTATTTTTTTATTTTCTACCTATATATTTCTATGTAACTTACTGTTAAACATTAAATTAGATATTTAATACATATGTATATCTATATGCAGCCCATCAAAATAAGATAACCTTGCGTCTAATGCCGCCGCAAAGTCTGCGTCACCGATGTTAAAGATACCACCGTTTATATATATTTAATCATGACTAGATTTAAGCATTCGTCGAACCATTAAATCTGATTTATTAATACGCCATTTTATTTGGGTTTTATAGGAGGAAGAAAAGCAAAAACGCGAAGAGCTCGAAGAAATTTTGGCCGAAAATAATCGCAAAATCGAAGAGGCACAAAGAAAATTGGTAAGTGAATATATCTAGATAAACCCGAAACATTTTCATTGATATTATCTATCCGTTCAACAGGCCGAAGAGCGCTTAGCTATCATTGAGGAACAGCGTCTGATGGACGAGGAGCGGCAGCGTATGCGCAAAGAGCAGGAGAAGCGTGTCAAGGAGGAGCAAAAGGTCATATTGGGCAAAAATAATTCAAGACCAAAATTATCGTTTTCCCTGAAACCGGGCGCGTTATGAGCCATCATTCAGCCAGTAGCGGGCGTTCCTTTCTGCCTTGTTGACAGCTTCTTGCTTTTCATTTTCTTACATTTATTTGATCACGAATTGGCGCTTTGCTTGCGCTTAAAACCAATTGAACGGGTTTCATTGTTGTAGTTATATATATTTTTTTTGTTTAATTTTATTTTTGAAGTGCGTTCAACAGGGGTTTGATTGCAAGCAAGGTGATATTATTGATGGGGGGATTGACCTATGTTTTCAACATACTCAGTGTACACACAACAACACGACAGACAGACAGACAGACTGACTAAACAACAGACAGACATATATATGCATACGTATTTAAAAATAGTTTTCATATATGGAAAAAAAAAACAACAAATAATAATGGCCAACCTCTACGATTATAAATAATTATACAGCCATTCATAGTACAATATTCTAGCAATTTACTTACATTTTTATACATACATTAAATATGTGAGCAAATAATAATGTGTAGTAGTGCGCCGTATGTTGCATCATGCTAAACAAATACAACATCGAGAAATCGCGAACTATGTAATCCCAACAAATTTTGATAATGCTAAAAAGAAAACCCCATTAATCTAAATTGATAATAAAGCGTTTCGCATACCTAACTATTGTGTTTAATTTGTGGAATGGAATGCGAGGGAAATCGGCCTATCTCAATCAGTTGGTATATGTAATTTAAAAATGTTTACTATTCTGATACTAAAAAAGTGCTAAACTAGACTAATAATATTCCATTACAAATATATAAGATAATATTTATAATTCAGTCTAACATATATATTAGAAACTATTTATAATTAAGGCTAGAGATAAAATTTAGCACCCAAGCTATCCGAAAATATTTATACCATAAAATATTTTCACTGAAATAAGAGTGCATAAAAACAAATATTAAATAAAATCACTATTTAGTATATAAATTAAATAAAATGAAAAATATATTAATGTTTATTAAAGTATATAAATTAAAAAATATTTTCTTTCTAAGGAAACTCTTTATTCATCTATCCTATTTGAAAATTAACGTTATTACTTAAACGAAAATATTTATGGGTCAAAATATTCTCTCTGAAGTAGTAGTGCATAAAAACTGGGGGTAAAATATTTATAAAATATAAAAAAAAACGTAATTCTGAAACCCCTCCACCGATACCAACCGAAACCAATTTAAAAATATATATTTCATTTTGTAGTTGTATTTTTTATTTTATATATTTTTTTTTATAATATATAGCCTTGAAAAAGTTAATTTATTATGCGTTCTTTTGATATATATTTTGCTGATAACATTAAAGAAGATTTGATCGCTTTTTGTTTTTTTTTTTTTATCTTTATCATTTTCCAGCTTGTTTCATTGGGTATGCTAGCACATCTGATATACATATAAATAGATATATATATATATATTTTTTTTATATATAGGCATACGTATATACATGAATTAGTTAATTTTTGTTTTGTTTAATGCAATATATGCAATCGATTTTTATTGAATCGCTAGCACAAATTAAATTTCCATTCATCAATCAGCCAACAATTTTCATTTTCAAGTCTTTCAATTTGTAAGATTTTCTGCCAATTTTTGCCAATCAATCGAACATCCATTAGCAGCTGAGAAAAAGCAGAAAGTTTTACAGCTTATATAATTGCACTTGAGAGTATTTTTTCGTTTTTGTTTTTCTTTGTTTTGTTTTTGTTTTTTTCGTATAATATAGAAAAGTTTAGGAGAAAGAAGGAAAAGAAATACTTTTTTACACACAGATTCATGTGTTGGTTTTTTTGTTTGTTTATTTTAAAATAATATTTTGCATAAAAAAGAACAAATCAAAATATTAAATAATATTTATGAAAATATATATATATAAAACCAAAGATGAAACTAAAAAATTAAAAACAATAAATTGCAAACATTTCAAGAAATGGCATAATTTCAGCTATGAAATTAAAAATATGTAATATATAATAATTGTATGGAGAGAAATAATTAAATGTTATAGTTATACGATAAGTTTATAAGTTATAGTATATACAGCTTCCGTTCATCAACAATCTCAATCTCAAATATTTTGCATTTAATTTTAACATTTACGTAGTTTTTCTTTACTCTTCAAAATTCTGGCTTATTAGCTGGCCCAAAAACAAAGCGCTTCAATCACGCTCAAATTAATTATTATTTTTTATTATTCTTTGTTTTTATGATCTTGCTGTTGTTGTTGTCGTTTTAGGTCCCACACAATTTCGCTAATTTTTACAAATATACGTGTTCACAATTATTACAATTTTAGTAATTCTTTTTTAAATATTTTTTAAATATTATTATTTAGTTGCCTTTTGTTTTTTTGATTAGCTTGCTGACTAAATTAAATTTCACTTGCAAATAGGAAAGAGTTTTTTTTTTCTTTTATTAATTCTTGCCATTTGTCTAAAATTTGCTCTTTCTTTTAATATAGCCATTAATTTAAATATATATTTATGTGAGTCTGTGTGAGTGTTTATGAAGTTATGAGTAAGTGTGTGTGTGTGTGTGTGTGTGTTTGTATGCATAAATATTGATAAATGGTTTTGTTTACATATATATTTACATACATATGTTTGTATGTGTAGTACTTTACTTTTACATTAAATGTGTAGAAAAATTCGTTAAATTGATTTGCGTATAGTTATTTTGTTTGTTTTTGTTTTTGTTTAACTATTTGTGTTATTTCATTTCATTAGCCACAAACACAAATTGTTGGCTTGTCAAATTTGTTTTATGCAGTCATTTATTGTTTAAACATTTAATTTCCTACGAGTTGTGCAATGCAGTTCTGCGTTTCATTTACTTTTTTGTTGCTTTTATTATTTATAAGTTAAATTTGTTTGCATTCTCAATTTGGCTGCAGTCTAGTATTTAATTCGATTTATGTTTATTATACATATTGATATACATATAGTATGTTTAAATATATATTTATATTTAAATATGTATATATATATATATATTTATAGAAATCTGTTTAGTGCAAATGCTAAAAATTGTTAGCTTTAGCTCCACAAAAAAATTTGTTCAACCACACAGAACGCGCAGTGGCACTCGAACTGTAGCAGCAGCAGCGGCAGCACCAGCTTCAAATTCACCACAAGCACGAAACAGTGGCTCACAAACTGTACGAGAGTTGGCTGCATGCACAGCACAATGGCTCCAAAACGTTACTGCTGTTACTGCTGCTGGTCTCCTCGCTGTTGCTCTGGCTCGGCTCCGTGTGGCGTTGCGCATCCGGCGCTAGGTAACCATCTTGACAAATAAAAGCGCCAATAGTATATTGACAAAGAGCACAAGCAGCATCAGCTGGCGGCGCACAAGCCAATCCTGTTGGGAGATACAAGGAACAGTGAGCACAGGTGGCACATCTGGCAGTCCTTGGAGCACTCACCTTAACTTGTGGACTAACCAAATACAGCAAGGGATTCGCCCTAAGGCGCTCGTTGACTTCCATCTGGCGACGCACTGCCTCGCGACGTGCCGAGCCCAGGGCGGAGACCTCCTCGCGACTCATCGCCTCCGTGGCGCGCGGCAGCTCCTGGAAGTCGGGCATCGACTTCTTACGCTGCAGCGTCACATTGATGGGCACCGTCTGCAGCGAGGTGGAAAGGAAAATCAATACAATATTAGTTATGCAAGCGTCTTCCATGCGATTCTCAGTTGGTTGCATGCAACACCACCTCAACGGGCGGCTCGACTATCCAGCTTTCGCTGGCCCGTCGCGCCAACAGGGCCGGCGAGAACATCAAGTCCTCCTCATCCTCCTCGGGATACCAGTCCATGCTGACCCCTGCGCCTTTCAAAGGCTACACAATTCAGCAACAGCCAGTGACAGTGGCAGAGCTTGCATAAGTCGGGCAATCAGTACCGTTCAGTGGCGCCACCTCCAACTTGTAAACGAGTTGAACATGACGCTAGAATTTTTACTAAACACTTTTAATGCCGACGACACTTGTGGCCAACTGTGGCCGCTGCCAGCAATGCGCCCCAATGGCCAAAAATAGTCCAACACGCACGGCAGTGAGCCAAAGCCAAAGCGAACAACAACAATGCGAAGAAGAAAAGAATCCCCCGCCTTCGCCTCTGTTTCTGATCTTCAAAATTCTTCGGCACTAAAATAATATATATGCGTACATATATATATATATATACGTATGTATATATGTATCTATATATATATATAATTTGTTTAACAGCGACACAAGTGTATTTGGCAAGTGGATCTTAGCCACGGCCTCTGGCGGGACCAACGCGTCTTTTGCTACTACCAAAGAGCCAACGGAAATTGTCGCCAGCCAGCGACAATTGAGCGGGGCGACAAATCCAATTCCAATGGGCCACTGCCACCACTTGTGGAGTGTTCATCCACATTCAGCAAAAGACACAGAGAGAGAGAGCGAAAGAGGGAGATCAGCGAGTGGCATTTGCATTCCATTCCGGCCTGCACTCACTTTTCACTATAAATAGACGGAGAATGGGCACATGTTCCGTCCGGCTCTCACTTGATCTCTCTCTCGTTTTCGCTCTCCCTTGCCCACTCTCTACTCTCCTCTATCTCTCACTTTTATATTGGCAGCTATTCTTGTTTTGAACAGATATATGGCCAACGAATTAAGTTAATTGCACGGATTAACTGAGTTATGAAATATTTGGGAATAGCCTGCCCGGGCATTTCATAGACAGACGCGTGCAGTTTAATGATCCGCATCAGCAGTGCAAATGAACTTAAGTGGGATTTCCATATGGGTCAGCTAAACATGTGTAAACAAAGCATTTCCCAAAGTGTGTCATAAATATTCAAAATTCAATTTGAATTTTATTAAAAGAATAAAATTTTCAACTACTTAACTCAGCTTGTACTCTCACTGTCCATCTCTACTCTATCTCTATATCTATCTCTCTCTCTCTTTATATAGCTCCCTAAAACAATTCCTAACACGCCTATTAGCATTTCCTTTCCACATTCCCATATGGTTTTTATTTCTGTCTAACAATTTTGAGTACTTTCTATTATTTCTATTCTGATTCTTGATACAACATATTTTACTGAATAATAATAATTAATTAGGAAT